TGGCCGCGGGCTCTGTCGGGCAGGCGACGTTCTCTCCAAATGGACGTCCGCGGCGACGCCAGGAGCGAGTCCTGTTGGAAACGGACAAGAACTGCTGCGGGTTGTCGTGCCAATCGCTTCCGTCCCCAATTCTCGATCTCGAGCGCACAGCCGGCAGCAAAGCTAAGATGAAAGCATGGAACACAAACACTTCCGCGACGGGTCTGTGCAGTGCGACGCGATGACTTGTGCATAAACGCCGCCTGCGGGGGATCCATCTTCGGGGGTTCGACAGGAGGTGGACATGGAGATGTTCGGGCCCTCGGGTGGCCATGCATACATATACACGCACACCAGATTTTAAGGCTCGCTGCGCTTCGCCTTCTGATATTGTTCCTTGCACCTGCATGTTTGATTGACTCTGCGGTTCGCATATTGATGTAGCCGCAGCGCTGCTACAACCCATTCTCGAACCAGACATTAGGGAAGCTAGCCTGACGCAGCCCCGATTGGCAACAGACCCGACGCGTCCCATCCATACCGAACGCCAGGCACTCGCCCAGCACCAAGGGACGACAGGTGCGGTCGGGGAGGCAGCGGAGGAGGAAGACAACCAACTACCGGAGGAGGAAGAGGAGCAGGAGGAGGACGAGCAAGAATAAGCCTTGGCGTAGGCCCGTGGTGGGGTCTTCTTGGACCGTCCAGGAGTCTCGTGGGTGCTTGTGGGGAGCTGGTGACAGCAGTGTAAGGTCTGGGGTATGTTTTAGGTCCTCTCGAGATTTCCGCGGGCTCCTGAGACGAAAAGAAACCTGCGCATCAAATTGTGGTTCCCCAGATCCTGGCTGCCTGTCGTGGGCCCTCTTTGGGGTCCCCCTGGTCAGTCTTGGGACCCTTGGGTGTCTCTGGGGAGCTGGTGATAACAGTCTCTGGTCTGGGGCCTTTCAGAAGGCAGCGGAAGAGGAAAACAACGAATTACAGGATGAGTAAGAGGAGCTGGAGGAGGAAGAGCAGGAGGAGAAGGAGGAGCAGGGGGCGGAGAAGGAGGAGCAGAGGGAGGAGGGGGAGAGGGGAGGGGCAGAGGGGAAGCAGAGAGAGGAGAAGCATGAGCAGGAGGAGGAGGAGGAGAAAAGGAGGGGGCGGAGAAGGAGGAGCACAGGGAGGAGGAGGAGAGGGAAGGGGCAGAGGGGAAGCAGAGAGAGGAGAAGCATGAACAGGAGCAGGAGGATGAGCGTGATGGGCCTGTTTTCCATCACCACCACCAGAAGTTGGAGGGGGAAGGAGGAGGACGAGGAGGAGGGGGACGAAGAGGAGGAGGAGGAGGAGGAGAGGAGGAGGGGGAGGAGGAGGAGGACGAGGAGGGGGAGGAGGAGGAGGAGGAGGAGGAGGAGGAGGAGGAGGAGGAGGAGGAGGAGGACAACGAGAAAAGGAGGAGGAGGAGGAGGACGAGGAGGAGGGGGAGGAGGCGAGGAGATTTCCGACGAGTTGGTTTTGAGAGTGACATTGGAACCTTCTTGGACTTTCTTGGGAATATCTTCAGAGACTTGTGACAGGAGAGGTGATGAAGCTGAAACAGTGGGAAATTAATGAAGTTGGCCTGTATAGGCTTGATTGGGGATCCGCTTGGAGCCCTTTCTGGTTGTCTAGGCGCCCTCTTGGGCTGTCCTGGAGCCCTCTAGGGCCGTTTTCGGACGACGACGACGACGACGATGACGATGAAGATGACGATGATGACGATGATGACGATGATGACGACGACGACGACGACGACGACGAGGACGACGACGACGACGAACTAACTCGGCGACGACAACTGGCCATCCAGAGTCGTTTTGGAGCCATCTTGGGAGGCCTTGAAGCGCGCTTGAAGCTGTCCTAGAGGCGTCCGGGGCTCCTCATAGGAGCATCTGGACGGTTCGTTCGGAGCTCGTGGCAGGTCTCTTGGGGCCTCCTGGAAGAATTTTGAAAGCCTCTTGGGGCCCGGTTGGGTGACTGTTGGGGGCCGTCTGGGGGGCTCTTGGGGACCGCTCGGGAGCTTCTTGGGAGGCTTCGTGGGGGCCTCTGGGAGCCTCTTGGTGACCTCCAAGGCCTTTCTTGGGGCCTCCTGGTGGCCTCTTGGGGCCGAGGGCCTGAAAAGTCCGTTCGGATCCCCCGTCTGGGCTCTCTCTTAGAGTCGTCTTGGGGCCCCTTTGGGCCGTTTTGGAAGCCTCTTGGGCTGCCTTGGTGCCCGTTTGGGTCGTCTGGGGGCTGTTTCGGGGGTTTCTTGGGCGGTCTTGGGGCGACATTGGGAGCCTCTTTGGCTGTCTTGGAGCGTCGGGAAGCCGCAAAAGGCGAGACCCATAGAAACCTTCCAGACCTACGAACAAACACCAACCATTTTTGCTTCTTGAGGACCTCTAGGGAAGCCTCTTGGACGCCTCTTGGGGCGTATTGGAGGCGTCTTGGGCCGTATTGGGACTATCTTGGGCGTCGTGGAGCGATCTTTGTGCGTCTCGGGGCCCTCTTGGACGATCTTGGGGGCAGGTCTCTTGGGGGCCTCCTGGAAGCATTTCGGAAGCCTCTTGGGGCCAAGTTCGGTGCCTGTTGGGGGCCGTTTAGAGGGCTCTTGGGGACCGTTCGGGGGCCTCTTTGGAGTCTCGTGGGGGCCTCCCAGGTTCTTGGCGCCTCCTGGGGGCATTTTGGGGCCAAAGCCTGCAAAGTCCGTTCGGATCCCCCGTCTGGGCTCTCTCATGGAGCAGTCTTGGGGCTCTTTTTTGGGCCGTCTTGAAGGCTGTCTTGGTGCCCGTTTGGGCCGTCGTGGGCTGTTTCGGGGGTTTCTTGGGCGGTCTTGGGGCGATCTTGGGGGCCTCTTGGGCTGTGTTGGCTGTCTTGAAGCGTCGGGAAGCCGAAAAGGCGAGACCCAAAGCAACCTTCAAAAACCTTTTGAAAAACAACAGCACCAATCATTGTTGCCTCTTGGAGCCCTCTAGGGAAGCCTCCTGGACGCCTCTTGGGGCATCTTGGAGGCGTCTTGGGCCGTATTGGGACTATCTTGGGCGTCGTGGAGCGATCTTTGTACGTCTCCGGGCCCTCTTGGACGATCTTGGGGGCCTCCCGGGGCCGTCCTGGAGGCCTCTTGGGCCGTCCTGGAGGCCTCTTCGAGGCGCCGGGGGGGGGTCTGGTTCGCGTGCGGGTGCCCGGGGGGGGGGACGGTGACATGCCGGGCTTTTCCTTGTAAGTTCATCGGTCGGAGGAATATATCCACATGCATATATATACACACACGCACATAACCATATATATATATACATATATATACGTATAGTCATATATATATATATGTATATATATATATATACGTCACCATGTATACCGCCTGCCGAGGCCCCCCAAGATCGATCCTCCAGGCGGTGGTTAGGAATAGATAGAGATGCCCGCCTCGGAGGCTGACTGGTTGAGACAGAACAGCGGGTCTAGGAGAAAACCTTAGGAACGCCACGAACTGAGTGACTCGTCCGTGCCGACTGCCTGGCGCGTCTGTAATTCGGCGACTCCAAAGGGTGTGGTTTGCAAAGGGTGTGGTTTGCAGCCGCCACCCTGGGGAACATCCAGGGGGGGCACCCTGGGGGGCGCACGGTGACCTGGATAGAGTTCTCCCGCGCCCCGAGGAGGCCCGACGAGGACAGTGTCGTGCCCTCCAGGCCCCAACGGTGCCGATCGCATACCACACCCTGGCGTAACCATACCCTGTGTAGTCGCCGAGTAATCTTCGACCCCCCGAAGTTCGCACGGCCGACATGGGTACGGACGAAAACGGGCACGATGCCAAGCAACAGGCGCTGTCAAGAGCAGGCAACGGCGGCTGACAGCGAGTCATGCTCGAAGTGGGCAGGACATGTTGTCGGTCTTGGCTTGAGAGGAGCAAAGACGGCGCAAACATAAAAAATGATGGAGCTCCGCGTGTGTTTCGTGGATCTGCTCTGGCTCCCTTCCCTGGAGCGCGGAGAACGTCAAGGGTGGCGCCAGAGTTGCCGCCAGGGGGGCCAAGCGACGATCTATTGAGCAGGGACCGACCGTCCCGGCAGTCCTATGCTCCTACCACGAAAAGTTCCTAGAACCCAAAAATGTTCTAAGAACAAAAAGAATGTGCGTAGAACATGAACCCCATGAGTTGAAACAAGACAGTCCCAGCCAGAAGTGTTCTAAGAACATTTCGTGGGGAACCACAAAAAGGTTCTTAGAACATTGTTTGGTGGGGCTATAGGCGAGCCGGGACGCTTCGCCACTGCTTGACGATCTGAGAAATCCCCGTGGAGCATCGGGAGTTTACTGTCGGGAGCTTTTGCTCCGCGTGCTGCCCCGGCGGCAGGCTCTGCCTCGCGAGTGGATGCTGCGTGCCGCTTCGCTCCGTGGGGCGGGGGGCTCGGAGAGCTCGGCACGTGGAGGCCTCGGGACCATGTGGACAGCGCGTCGCACCGAGACGTGGTGGGCCAGAACCAGCGGCGCGACTCTCTGCCCCAAAATTCGAGAAGACAAACGCCGTAAGCATAAACCTTTGGCGCTCCGAGGGGGTTCCTTGGATATGCGCTGGACCCCCCTCCCTGGCGCGCGGAGCGCGCCATGGGCGGCGCCTGCGACGCCGCCGGGGGGGCCCGGCGCGGATCCAAAAAACCCGCGCGGAGCGCCAAAAGTTTATGGCTTTTGTAGCGCGTGCTCTTCCGCGAAGTCGCCGACCGCTCCCCGTTCCTCCATCACCCCCGACCGCTTCGGTGCCCACTCCGATCTGAGCAGGGACCGACCGTCCCGGCATTCCTATAGTCTTACCACGGAATGTTCTTAGAACCCAACAATGTTCTAAGAACAAAAACGATGTTCTTAGAACATTAGCCCGATGTGTTAAGCCAAGACAGTCCCAATCAGAAATGTTCTAAGAACATTTCGTGGGAAACCACAAGAAGGTTCCTAGAACATTGTTTGGTAGGGCTTTAGGCGAGCCAGGACGCTTCGCCACTGCTTGACCGATCGTGCTGCCGCGGGCGGCGCGCCTGGCTGCCCGCGCGGCGCCGCGCCGTCGTGCCGCAAGGCCACCGAGCGCGCGAAGCTCTGCAGGCGGGCTATGACGTTCCCGTCCTGCGGCGACGGGGGAGCCGCGCGGCCGCGCACGCCGCGGGGCGGCTCCTCCTCCTCCTCCTCCTCCTCCTTCTCCTCCTCCTCCTCCTCCTCCTCCTCATCATCATCATCCAAGTCCTCCCCCTCCTCCCTCCTACCTCCTCCCTCCTCCCTCCTCCCTCCTCCCTCCTGCTCCTCCTCCTCCTCCCTCCTCCTCCTCCTCCTCCTCCTCCTCCTCCTCCCCCACCTCCTCCGCCTCCTCCTGCTCCTCCTCCTCCTCCTCCTCCTCCACCTCCTCCGCCTCCTCCTCCACAGTTGCACAATGTAAATACTGGTCTCCTCTCTCCCCGGGTGACGTCCGGAAGATATCCGCCCCCCCTCCGCGTTATGTTTTTCACACAGGGTTTCCACGAGTTTTTTTTTCAAATTTATCTCCCGCTGCTGCACCTTTGGTTGTTCCAAATCGTGCTCCCGCTGCAGCGCGGGCGTTTTCGGTCCTTCCAAATAGGCCCCCTAATCTAAAAATGCCCCCTGAAAAAACCATTGGAAGTGATTATATTTCGGTGTCGATTACTGGATTCTTTGGGCCGCAGAAGCCCCCCTACACTTTGGGGCATCGTCGTTTTCAGGAAGTATCAAGCGGGAACCCCGTTTTTGCTTTGAAAAAGCGATGTTGAAAGCAGAGCCAGCGGGTGCTCTCCATCAGCCCCGCCTTGTGTGGAGCTTTTCGGGAAGCCCAAGGAGCTAGACACGGAGCCACGACTCCAGACCAGCCCAGACCTCTCGAAGACGATCCACTTACCCTCCAAGGAACTCGGCACAATGTCATGGCATGCTGTGCGGCGTTGTGTTCTGCGCCGCTGTGCGATGCTATGCTTTGCGTTGCAATGCTTTGTGATACAATGCTTCACTGCGCAATGCCACGCCATGCTATGCCATGCTACGCACTGCCGCGCTTTTCTACGCCGTGCCAGGCCGTGCCCTACCATGCATCGCGCAATCTCTCGCGATCGTTGCCCTGCTCGACATCCGACTGTGCGAATACAGAGGATACCTACGCCATGGTAAGGGATGGGAGGGAGGGGTAGGACGTCAGATATGACACGAGCGCACCTGGCTTGCCCTCACCCCTCCCCCCTCTTCCCTCCTGTCTGGGGACCTCCCCGGGCGTGGTCACAGCGGGCGCTTCGGGCCGCTCTCTGCCGCGGCCTCGCTCAAGGGGGGGCGATACATGACGGGGGGGGGGGGAAGGTGCACTTCTCGGGCCCTCAAGGCTCCCTGTGGGGCCTTGAAGAGCCCCTGTAGGGCCCCCAAAAGCCCCTTTTCTGTAGTCCTCGCTGCCCCCCTCAGTTATCGACCCCCCATTACGCGACGCCAAATCTGCCTCTGGGGGGCCCTCGGCAGGCCTCGAGACAGTCGAAGAACGGCTCGGGGCGAAAAAACAACCCCGAAGGAAGGGTCGGGACTTCTGGGAGCACCGTGTCAGAATTACCTTAAACATACCCAACCCATCTGCAGCAAAGGACCATTGCAACGGGCCCGCTCTGCGCGGGTGGCAACACCTACATGGGAGGCTTGCGCTTTCCACGATTCACGGGAAATCCTCCTCCTCCGCCTCCTCCCCCTCCTCCTCCTGGGGAACCACTGCCGGTCACCTGGAAGTCTTGCATCAGTTTTGCAGGTCCGATGGGCCACCGCTGTGAACCCCCTATCTGCGGCGACGGTTGTGCAGTTGGCAGCCCCTCCCAGGGGGCTGCGAGGCCTAGTCTGGATCTCCGTGTCGCTCCCAGCTGGATCTCCCAGCTGGACCTCCCAGGAGCCCACGGACCTCCCAGGAGCCCACGAGAATGGCGCCAATTGCACAGTTGGCAGGCCCCCGACGGAGCCGTGAGGTCTCGCCTGGATCTGCATCAAAACCTACTCCGCTGGACCTCCGTTGAGCCCAAGGAGGTGGCAACATTTGCACAGATGGCAGCCCCTCCAAGGAGGAGGAAGAGGAGGAGGAGGACGAGGAGGAGGAGGAGGAACAGGAGGAGGAACAGGAGGAACAGGAGGAACAGGAGGAGGAGGAACAGGAGGAGGAACAGGAGGACGAGGAGGACGAGGAGGAGAGGCGCGACCGCAGCGCTCTGTTCAAAGTGAGAACCCAACAGATGACGATTGGGCGCCATCAGGGCACCGCACGTCCGAGTCTGCGGCGGCACGCCACGAAGCGGCCTCGTGCAGGAGTTGCCCGCGGTGCGCGGCTGGCCGAATGCTGCACGCGCCGCGGCGGCCTCGGCGGCCCCCGAGAGGGTGGGCTTGCCCCCCCGCCCCCCCCCCCTGGCGCCGCCACAGAGCCGCAGGCCAGAGGCCTCACCCTGGCGTGCGGCGTTAGGTCGGGCCTGTCCCCCTACAGGCGGATTTTGGACGGAACAGAAAAGATACCCAACAAATGCTCCTAAATGGCCCCAAATAGTAGAAAGATCGTCCCCAGGCTACTTTGGGACTAATTTTGAATGTTCCTCCTGTAGAGGGACAGGCCCGACTTAACCCTGGCGGCGGAGGAGGAGCAGGAGGAGGAGGAGGAGCATGAGGAGGAGGAGGAGGAGGAGGAGGAGGAGGAGGAGGAGGAGGAGGAGGGAGGAGGAGGGGAGGAGGTAGGAGGGAGGAGGGGGAGGAATTGGATGAGAGAGGAGAGGGGGAGGAGGAGGAGGAGGAGGAGGAGGAGGAGGAGGAGGAGGAGGAGGGAGGAGGAGTGAGGAGGAGGAGGAGGAGGAGGAGGAGGAGGAGGAGGAGGAGGAGGAGGAGGAGGAGGAGGAGGAGGAGGAGGAGGAGGGGGCCCCGCGGGGGGTGCGGCGGGCCGATCGGTGCACGCGATCTGCGGGCAGGAACTGCGCCCGCGAGGGTGGGCCTGCCTGCCCGCGCAGTGCCATGCTTGCGCTCCTCCTCTCGGCGGCGAGCACTGGCGACGTCGACGCGAAGCAATTCGGGCTCCACGTCGAGCCGCGTCGGCGACGCATCGCCGATGCGGCGCGATCCCCCGACCCCATCTGCTCCGACCCTATCTGGGAGGCCTAGAGATTCGGGGGCGAGCCCGGGGGGGGAGTGAGAAGGGGCGGGTCTTCCCAGAAGGCTCGGAAGGCCCCCGGCCTTCTGAGAAGCTCCCTGAGCTCTTCCCCGAAGACGCGGAGGAAACCTCTCAGAAGGCGCGATGGCTCCTAAGAAGTCTGGCCGCCTCCTGAGACGGCCCTCTCCGTCTCACCTCCTCCCCTCGCTCGCCGCCGATCCTCGCCCCTCGATCCTCAAGCGTTCGGCGTCAAGGAGAGGGGCCTTGGAAGAGACGGGCCCTGTGATTTCCGTGCTGCCGCGTTCGGGCTGCAGGCGCCCTACCAGGGCCGCGGCGTTGTCAGAAAAGCCATCAGCATAACAAGCTGCCATCATTTTGTGCTGCCAGCAAGGAACGCTGAATAAAGGCTACCAAGGAGGAGCGAAGGGGCATTCCTGGCCAAAGGCGAGCATCGGCCACGAATACGCGCTTCCCGACCCAGGTCTATAGAACGGCCCGAGACCCCGAGCCTCTCCTGGCCCGGAAGTGGTCCTTGCTGCAGCGTCTTGGCTGCAACCCCTAGGAAGAACACTTCCCCCTTCTCGCCAGCGGGGAGAAGGCGCGTCCGGCAGGGTCAGTGGAACTCCAAGCTCTGGGCATCTGCCTGGGCCGCTGTCCTACACGAGACCCTTCCGCCGCGGGGCATTTCTGGAGGAACGAACGACTGTACGAACATAAACGTTCGGAGGTCCGCGCGGATTTCTCGCACCAGCGCTGGACCCCCTTCCTCCGCGCGGAGCTCCAAAAGTTTATGTTTGACCAGTGCGATGCTTTTCAAAGGAGACCTTCCGCTGCGGGGCATCGCGGGGAAAACATACAGCCTCAGGTGATCACGGGCCTCAGGCCTCAACAGCTGACTCTTCGTGGCAGGCCACCGCGGGAAGAGCGCAGGGAACACTGGCTGGGCGAACCATCGTCGGCTGAGGCACAACAGGGCGGGCATCGGAGAGACTGTGGGGACTAGGTGGAACACTCGCAGGTCACTTGCCACCTCCTCGGGTGAGGAATGCATATGCAATGCGCTGCGCCCATCCCATCCCATTCTCGGCGCTGACCTCCCCACTGGATGCCTGCCGCCTGCCCGAACCCTCACATCGATCGCATCCTTTCAGCCAGGGGCATCCCGCAAGTTTATACTTACGCAACACCGCGCAACTGCCAATAAGGGTGAGGTGGTGGCGTCGCGGGCGAGCCACCTCCAAGTGTAGCCCCGAAATGAAGCTCCCATGTGTAGCCCTCAAGTATAGCCCTCACGTGAGGCCTCCCAACGATAGCTCCCGTGCCCCCGAAGTGTAGTCCCCATGCGTAGCCCCCGATGTGCAGCCCGGAAGACCGGGCCCTTCACCCAGCCACGCGCGCGCAGGAAGAGAGTGAGGCCATTCGGCCCCCTCACTCTAATGTGGTTGCCTTCTTAAACATTTGAGGGGCCACATGCGAACCCTACCTCTACCCCCCACGATTTTTAATGGGTAGGGTGGGGGTCACTACGCAAGGTAGCTCCCGAACGAAGTGAACCCCACCCCCCCCCCTCAGAAATCGTGGGGGGTAGGGGTAGGGTTCGCATGCGGCCCCCTAACATTCGCCGAGCAAGAGGAGGGGAACGCAGCAGCCACACCGCGGTCCTTCGTGCCAGACACGTCGAACCTCGCCATCACCCGTGCCTGTACGGAGCGCGCTGGGGCAAACAGCCGCCCACCCGCGGACGGATGAGACAAACGTCGGCATGAGCAGTCCACCTCTGGAAACGGCGGCCTCGGAAGCGACCGGCAATTGCCCTGACGCAAGGACCCTCCCCTGGCAAAACCCACTGGGCCCGCCGCACCCCACGGGGCGGGAGGAGGTGGCCACGGAGTGGTGGTCGCCAAGGCGCTGTGCTGGCCTCCAATTCCGACAGCAGGGGCGAGGCAGGCGGGGCTCGCGTGCCTCCCCTACTCCTCTTTCTCCTCTTCCTCCTCCTCCTTCTCCTCCTCCTCCTCCTCCTCCTCCTCCTCCTCCTCTTCCTCTTTCTCTTCATCTTCCTCATTCGCTTCTTCCCATTCGGCAACCTTGCTATTGCGGTCAGGAACTTTTGCTGAGCGGGTCGCGGCGGCGGCCCTAGCGACACGGTACATGTCGCTCCGTTCCGCCGGGTGGGAGGCTGGGAAAGGCTCGGGACGCTGACGCTCGGGAGCTCGGACGTGGTTAGCGTGTCGCGCCGAAGCGCAAGGGACTGGAACCGTCGGCGCGACAAGCTAAGCAACAACTTCCGACCGTATCCTCCTGTCCCCGCCACCTTCTTCTCCCCCTCTTCATCTCCCACTCCTGCCAGGACCATACAGTCCATCCCCCGCCGAGGCCCCCCCCGGCCCCTCTTCCTTCTGCTCGGCCAGCTCCTCATCATCTTTCTCCTGCTCGTTCTCCTCCTCGTTTTCCCCCTGATCCTTCCTCCTTCTACTCCTCCTTCCGTTTCTCCTGGTCACACTCCACGTCCTGCTCATTAGTTCTGCTCCTACTTGTCGCCCACCTCCTCCGCCTCCTCTCAGTCTATCTCCTTATGCTGCGCCCGACGGAATGTGGAAGAGGCGGAACTTTGAGGGAGATCCCTGTCCGTGTTCGTCATGCTGGCCCTGGGCACACTCTACTACTACGTCACTAAATGCGATTGCCACTTCGACTGGTACTGCTAATCTTGTCCCTTGGGTGTCATCATGATTCAAATAATCCGCGGCGTGTTTCAAGAGTGCCCTGGAACAGCTCACGACCGCTCCGCGACGGCCCAAGACACCCTCAAGACGGCCCGAGAAACCCCCAAGACACTTCAAGAGGACTCCAAGCGGAGTCCCAAGAGGGCCCCACGAGGCGACAAACTAAGATGTCCACGTCGTGTTCCTATGCTTGTTCACGTCCTCGGCTTGTCGGGCTTCCGACGCTCCAAGTCGGCCCAAGAAGCTACCAAGATCGCCCCAAGACTGTCCAAGAGGCTGCCGAAAGCGCCCGACAACGGCCCAAGACGGCATCAAGATCGCCCACAAGCCCCCAAGAAGGCCGAATTGGCACCAAAAAGGCCGGAAGAGGCTCCCGAGAAGGGGAACACCAACCGCCATTTCGAAAATTCCACCCCAAGAGGCCCACAGGAGGCCCCAAGAGGCGCCCAAGAAGCCTCCGAACGGCCCCCCCAAGAGACCCAAGAGAGCCCCAGGAGCACTCCCAAGACATCCCCCAAGAGAGTAAGGTGCATGATGTTCCTGCAGTTGTTGGCTGCTTGTCGTCGTCGCCGTCGTCCTCGTCGTGGTCGTCGTCTTGGTGTCGGCGGCACCGGCCGTAAGACCTTCACAACAATTGAAGGGGCACGCACAAATAAATACACACAAATAAAAAGATCCCCCTGTTTTCCCATATGTTCTGGGTTTCTGTCTTCCCCCCCACTTCCTACAGTTTCCCATATTTTCTGGGGAATCGCCGATCAATTGTGTCTGTGTGTTTCTTTCCCTCCTGAACAATCGGGTGTGAAGCATGCGGATGCCGCATGCCGAAGCACTCGGCCCCCCCCCCCTGCGTTGCGCGCTCTCTCTTGCGCGAGCAGGGTGCACGACGGCGCGCCAGCAGCGACAGCGACGAGCAGGAGCAACGGTACAGTCGGGGCGCTGACCTAAGGAACCCTAAATAAGGAACGAGGCCCCTTTTCTCCAGAAGTTGAATTTCGATTTCCCATGGAAAACCTCAGGAAAACAGAAGGCTAACTGTAGAACAACTAAGGAACACGGAGCCCCTCCCAAACGAAAAAGGTTCCTTCTTCAGCGCCCCGACTGTACGCAATCGTGCCCGACTCGAGCAGAGGTGCCCGATCTGCGGCTTGGGCGTGCAGGTCCGCCACCGTGCCTCTGGGCACGGAGTCGGCGTGCCCTCGGGTCCTTTGCGTACGCGTCGTGCATGTCTCATCGTGCTCGTTTCTAGTGGTGCTCGTTTCTGATTGCTCCTGGCCCCCTGGTGGCCAGGAAGAGGCCCAGGACAGCACACTTAGAAATAGATGAAAGGAGCTTGGCCCCCCTAAAAGATCCGAGAACCCTCGAAGAAATAGGAATGCACACAATGTACGTCTTGGGCGTGACGGCCCGCCACCGTGCCCCTGGGCACGGAGCGGGCGTGCCCTCGGGTCCCTTCGCGTCATCCCCCTGAGCCTCAAAGCTCGCTCCAAGGGGGGCCTCAGAGAGGAGGAGGAGGAGGAGGAGGAGGAGGAGGAGGAGGAGGAGGAGGAGGAGGGGGAGGAGGAGAAAGGAGGAGGAGGAGGAGGAGGAGGAGGAGGAGGAGGAGGAGGAGGAGGAGAGCTTGCCAAGTCTCTCTCTCTCTCTCTCTCTATATATATATATATATATATATATATATCGGGGCCTCCCCGCGTGCCCCCTCTCCAGGCCGTGGCGCAAGGGCTCCCCGCGCACACCTGCCCTGCTCGGAGCCGCCGAGGGGCCCCCCTATGGAGGGCCCCCAGAGGGCCGCGAGAGGCCTTCCAGACGGTCCAAGAGGGTCCCCGTCGGGGATGGACAGACCCCCCTTTAGTTGAACGTGGTTTACGCGCGGCTCCCCGCGCACACGTGCCCTGCTCGGAGCCGCCCAGGGGCCCCCCTGGAGGGCCCCCAGAGGGCCGCGAGAGCACTTCTAGACGGGCGAACAAAATCAGAACAATGGTCCAAAATAGGAAAGAACTGTGCCCGTACTATTTTTCGACTAGTTTCGAATCTCCCTCCTGTAGAAGGACAGGCGTCACTTAAGGATAGGAACCAGCTGCGGATACAAGAATGTCTGGTGAAACCAATTAGAAAAACCCTTAACTTCGGGGATGGACAGACCCCCCTTTAGTTGAACGTGGTTTAGTGAAAACGACCTCGGGCCCAAACCTGACGGGCGCAAGCCTGGAAAATGACGACCGCGGCGCCCTCTCGAGAACCGAGAACGGACATTTCACTAATCGACGTGCCAGGGTGGGGGCTCTGTCCACCGCCGATCCCAAGTCGCCGACAGATCGCCCCAAGACGCCCAAGATGGCATCAAGAGGGTCCAAGAGGACCCCGAGACGGCCCCAAGGGAGCCCGAAGAGAGGCCTCCCGAAAGGCCCGAATGAAGTAGTTCCTATTGGTCCTCTTGAAAGTGTTTGACCTTCTCGCCTTTTTGGCTTCGCGACGCTCCAAGACAACCCGAGAAGGCTCCAAGGACGCCCCAACATGACCCAATAGGCCCCAAGACGGCCCGAGAGGCGCCCAAGACAGCCCAAGCGGGCCCCAAGATGGCCATAACAGAGGTCCAAGAGAGGGGCCACCAACCGAAAATTCGAGCCTTCCGCCTCAAGAAGGCCGTGCGGTGACGGACCGTGCGGTGACCTCCGAATCCCCAAACACCTCACCGCACGGTCCGTCACCGCACGGTTTTGGACCTCGGAGGCACCAATTGCCCGAGACACCCTCGGAGACCGCTCCATGCTCCCAAACCGTGCGCCTAGTGGGCGCACATGCTTCAACATATATTCAGATGGAACCATAAAGAGATCGCTGACCTGGCGTCCTCGACACTAGCGGGCCAGAGAGTACCGCACACGGACGGATGCCAATGCGGGTTGGCCCTCATCGCCCTACAGACGGCCTGGGGGCAAACCGTTGGCCCCCAGGCCGTCTGTAGGGCGATGGGGGGGGGGGGGCCGAGAGGCGCGGCGCACCCCTGGAAGCAGAACAATCATAAACTTTTGGCGCTCCGCGCGGATTTCTTGGGTCCGCGGTGGACCCCCCTCCCTGGCGCGCGGAGCGCGCCAGGGGCGGCGCTGGAGGCGCCGCCGGGGGGGGCCAGCAATGATCTGCTGCGCATAAAGACTTGGCGGCGCGCACAAGGGGGCTGAGGGAGGGGTGGAGGGCTTCTTAGAAGGAGGCTTCTTCTTAGCAGGCGCCGGCCTGACATCTACAGATGAGGCCCGCGCCTTCTAAGAAGCAGGGGGGCTTCTGAGAAGCCCTCCCCCCTCCCCCCGCCCCCCTGGCGCGCGTGGCTGAAGAAAGACGTCGTCGTGCAGATCGCGCTGCAGGCGCCCCCCTCCCGCTTCTCGCGGCCACCGCCAGCCGCCGCCTGCGCGCGCCACGACCAGGCGCGCGGAGCGCGCCAGTCAGCAGCTCTGGCGGTCGTCTGTGACCAGCGGGCCAGGCGGGACTGGGCCGAGCGCGCCAGCGTCAGGTCGGGCGTGTCCCCCTACAGGGAGATTTTGGACGAACAGATAATCAAAAACGCACCCAAATGCTCAACAAAAATATCAAACAATAATTCCTGACGATGTTCACCATTTTTGACTGCTCCTCCTGTAGGAGGGACAGGCCCGACCTGAGACTGCGCCGCTCGCGCCAGCGGCTCCGGCTCCTCGGACGCCCCTCGCGACGCACTGCAACGGGGGCAGAGCTTGCACGTGCGTGCCGAGCGCGAGTGCACGGCCCACGGCCTTCCCCAACCTCTCCGAGCGGCGGGCGGCAGGGGGGCAGCCACAAAAACGCCCCACGGGCGGAGTCCGAGGGGGGAAGGCCGGGGGAGGCACCCGCGCGGAGCGCCGAAAGGTTACGCTCTCATGGCCCGCCTTTGCCCTCGAGAGGTGCGCGGCGCACCAGCCCTTTGCTGTGCGGCTCCGTGCCCTGCTGGGGCGCTGCGCACCCGTCGATGGGCGCGCGGCGCGCCCTTTGCCCAAACTCCCTGCGCTGTGCGGCCTCGTGCATGCTGAGGCGCGGCCCATGCGTCGAAGCGCGCGCGGAGCGCCCCGGCCTCCCCCAACCCCTCTTGCTGTGCGGCCCTATGCCTGCTAAGGCGCGGCCCATTTCGCCCGTTGCGGTTCCGGTCTGAGTCGTGTACTGGGCCGTTTCGATTGCGCACCGGTGCGTTTCGGCTCCGGCTCGTTCCGTCCTGGCCCATTTCGGCTCTGCCCGTTTCGGCTGCGGCCCGTCTTGGTTTCGGCTCCGGCAAATCCGGCTGCCGGTGGCGCCAGCTGGCTTCGGTTTCGGCCCATTTCGGTTTCAGCCCGTTTTGGCTCCGCGCCGGCCCGTTTCGGCTCCGGTCCGTTTCGTCACAGCCTGTTTCGGCTCCCGTCCTTTTCGTCCTAGCCCGTTGCGGCTCTGGCGCGTTCCGTCCCGGCCCGAATTTCGGCTTCGGCCCCCTGTGTCGGTTCCACCCCGTTTTCAGGATGTTTCGGGTCGGTTTTCGCTGCCGGCCAATCGTTTTTGTTGCGTTCGTTGTGGCGCCCATTCGGCCACTGTCCATGAGACTTACCAGCGAGTGCATGGGACACCCAGTCAATGACATGCCTCCCTCGACCTTGCCCCCTTCATCGCCATTTTCGACAAGCTTGGGAAATCCAGAGGAGAGGGCTGGTGGGTTGGTTAGGTGGTCGGGATCAACTTCAAGCCCTGCCCCCTTCCATCCCGTCCTCCCTTTTCGTTCCGTGTCCACCCTCTCCGCTTTCTCTTACTTGTCCTCGCTCCCCTGCCCCCTGCCCTCGCCCGCGGAGGCAAGCGGATGCGGCGGGGAGGACGAGGATGAGAACCGAGAAGGACAGAAGGAGGAGGAGGAGGAGGAGCAGGAGGAGGATGAGGAGCAGGAGGAGGAAGAGGAGGAGTAGAAGTGCTTTGGTTTGCTCTTTCTCACTCTCTCTCTTTCTATGTTTTCCCCTCTCTCTCTCTCTCTTTTTGTCTCTCTCTCTCTCTCTCTTTCCCCCCCCCCCTCTCTTCTCTCTTCCCAGTCTGGCTAGTTCCAAGAAGCCCTTGGGAAAGCATGCCCTGCGTCAGGGGCACACCTGTGTAGACCCTCCTTTTTCTCTCTGCCTCTTGGCGGGCCTGCGAGGCTGCCACCTGGCGGGCGCAACACATGGCCGCGAAGCCGCAGCGGGCCGAGGCCGAAACCGGCTGACGCCGCCGCAGCGGGCGGCTCCGGAACGGGCCGACGCCGAAGCGGCCAGGGGCCGGAACGGGCAGAGCCCAAAGGAGCCGATCGGCGCAGCGCGCCGGGGCCGAAGCCGGCGGAGGTCGGAACAGGCCGAGGCCGAAGCGGACTCGCGGCGTGGCACCCTGGCCACGTCACTCACGTCGGAGGGAAGCCCCTTCCCTCCGTCTCTTCCCCGGCGGGGGGGGGGGGTCCCAGGGAGGGGGGGGGGGGGGGGGGGGGGGGGGGGGGGGCAGATTCCCATCCCTTGTTTGCGGCTTTTGCAGAGGGGCCCTCTGTAGATGCCACGACGGATCCGCAAGAGCGCCCTGAGACGGCCCAACCCCCACAAGACAGCCCAAGAACGCCTGAGGGGACGGCCAAAAGAAGGCTCCAGACAAAGGACGCGCCCCCCGAAACAATGAAAAGCTGTTTCCAAAAGAATCCAGACTGCCAGAACGCCTCCTCCTCCTCCTCCTCCTCCTCCTCCTCTCCTCCTCCTCTCTCCTCCTCCTCCTCCTACTGCTCCTCCTCCTCCCTCCTCCTCCTCCTGGCCCTCCCCCGCCTCCTTCTCCTCCTTCTCCTCCTCCTCCTCCTCCTCCCTCCTCCTCCTCATCCTTCCCCCCCCTCCTCCTCCCTCATCCGCCTCCTCCACACATCCTCTTCCCCCCCCCCCAGTCCTCCTCCTCCTCCGCCTCCTCCCCCCCCTCCCTCGTTTTCATCTTCGTCGCCTTCAAGGTCGGCGGCACCGGCCGTGAGGCCTTCGCAATAACTTCTCCCTGTCGCACACCGAGACGCGTAGATGGGCGGGCGGTCCTGAACCTTTCAATTCACAACAGCTTCACGGATTGAAGGCGGGCCGATGTCAAAATGTGGCTCTCGCCTTGGCGCCACGCGCTTTTATCTTTGAAGCTGGCACGAGCTTCATCGATGGGGGGCGGGCTGCTCTCAAGATGTAGCTCTCGCCCTAGCGTCGCGCATATACTCATCAAAAGGTCGCAAGAGCTTCATGGATGGAGTCCTCCTCCTCCTTCTCCTCTTCCTCCGCCTCCTCCTCCTCCTCCTCCAGCTCCTCCTCCTCCTCCTCCTCATTCACCCCCTCCTCGCCTCCTCCTCCTCCTCCTCCTCCTCCTCCTCCTCCTCCTCATCCTCCTCCTCGTCCTCCTCCATCTCCATTCCTTTTCCTTATACATGACTTCTCCCTGTCACACCCCGAGGCCAGTATTCAGATCGGGCCGGGCGTTTCGACTGAGACTTCCTTACCATGTATGACCCTGACGCTTAAAAAGTGGGAGCAGCTTCACAGATGGAGGGCGGGCCGTTTTCAAAATGTGGCTCTCGCTGCAACGCCGCGCACACTCGTTTAAACATTGAAATAGTTTGACGGATGGAAGGCGGGTGGCTTTGAAAATGTGGCTCTCGTCTTTAGGCCGCGCACATGAACATCTGCAATACTTTGACAGATTGAGGGCGGGTGGTTTTCAGAATATGGCTCTCGCCTTAGCGCCGCGCACAGTCGTTTTAAACATGTGCCAGAATTGCACGGATTGAATACGTGGCGTTGGAATTCCGAGAACACTGCTTTGGCATCCTTCAGGGTCTTCAAACGGTTGTCTTCCAACGAGGCAAGTCCCTCAGTGGAAATGAGCCGTTGTAGGGGCCTATGAGGAGGGAGCTTGGACGGAGGGTTGATTCCAACGTCGTTGATGACACTTGGGTGCTGGTCGTCCTCCTCCTCCTCCTCCGCCTCCTCCGGCTTCTCCTCCTCCTCCTCCTCCTCCTCCTCCTCCTCCTCCTCCTCCAAGCACAGGTCCTCCTCTTTTTCTTCCTCCTCGTCCTCGGCGCTGGCGCCTGGACCGCTTCACCCAGGCTGCGCATGGTCTGCACGGCCTCCAGCGAAGGGGGGGTGGGCTCTGGACAGACAGGGCGAGCACTTTCCCCTGGAGGGGGCAGGACCCTGTCCTAGGAAGCAGGCGAAAAAGGAGGACGAGGCGACGGGCGGGGCCCAGAGGAGGGTAGAGGAGACGAGCGTACCCGCGAGAAGGGGGAGCAGGAGCAGGGAGAGGGCGGAACGGGACGGTGGAGAAGGAAAACCAGGACCTTCCCTGCAGAGGGGAGGTCCTCTCCTGGAAGGAGCGGAAGGACCGCCTCCTCCTCCTCGTCCTCCTCCTCCTCCTCCTTTTCCTCCTCCTCCTCCTCCTCCTCCTCCTCCTCTTTCTCCTCCTCTCCTCCTCCTCCTCCTCCTCCTCCTCTCCTCCTCCTCCTCCTCCTCCTCCTCCTCCTCCTCCTCCTCCTCCTCCTCCTCCTCCTCCTCCTCCTCCTCCTCGTCCTCCTCCTCCTCCTCCTCCTCCTCCTGCTCCTTCTCCTCCTCCTCCTCCCCCTCCTCCTCCTCCTCCTCCTCCCCTCCTCCTCACTGTACCGCCGCTGGGGGCGCCCAGCGCGGATCCAAGAAATCCGCGCGGAGCGCCAGAAGCTTTTGTGTGTGTGTGTGCCGTTTTTGGCTTCTTCGATCGACTGCACGTCCACGCTGTCAACAATGGGCGGCCCTCACCGCCGCTGGGCCAAGGGGCAGCCGGTGGCCGGGAGGGCAAGGCCGCAGCAGGGCGGTGGCAGCCCGGGGGGGGGGGGGCCGCCCTGGCGGCGGCCTCCCAGGCCGAGAGTGAGCGCGGCGGCGGCGGGTGCGGAGTGCCGGCGCGTTTTTTGGACAGGCGCGTTCGAGCGACATGCGCGACCGCAGGCGCCCGGGTGAGGCGCCCGACTTAGCCGAGCAGGTTCGGCAGCTGCGAGATGCGGCGCGCAGCTAAGGTAGCGAATCCTGCTGCGCTGCCCCCAACGCAGCGCAGGTTGCCGAGCAGCAGCGCCTGCCCCCGTGCCAGCCTGCACACAAGGGCCCCAGCGAGGGATTCGCGGGCGCCCACGTCGGCGGCGAATTGCCATGCGAGGCGGGGATTTACCCAGATCCACCGCTTGGGAACCGACGTCCTGGGGATCCTGCGGGCGGTGGGCATGGATACATTTTGGCCCCCAGGGGCCCGAATAGATCCAGATGCACCGCCCGCAGACGTCCCCGCAAGTCGACCCCCAGGCTATGATAGAGCACGGACCGACCATCCCGGCATTCCTATAGGCCTATCACGAAATCAAATAAGAACCCCGAACTGTTCTGTGAACAAAAAATGGTTCTTAGAACGCACACCCGATGCGTTCAAACAATCTTGGTTCGGCCAGAAATGTTCTAGGAACTTTTCGTGCAGAGCACATTCGGTTCTTAGAACACTCTTTGGTGGGCCTATAGGCAAGTCAGGACGCTTCGCCACTGCTCGACACGAGGGCAACCCACCTCGGGAAGCGCGGGCGCCCAATTCGGTGGCTATACCAGGCGCCGGCGCCAGCCGCGGCCTTGGATCCCCTGTTCCCGGAGCTTGGCGGCCCCACGGGCAAGGGAGCGCGGCGTGAGGCGGGGTCGAGTCCGGCCAGGAGGAGGCGACGAAAGTGTGCGACGGGTTCCTGCGCTGCCCCTACCGAGCGGCGATGCGCCGTCGGACGGAGTCGTCCTCCACTGGGGGGCGTCGTCGTGCTTGGCCAGCGACCCCGTGCAGAAGAATGGCGTGGAGCGGCATTACCTGCCCAAGGGTACCAAGACATCGCCGATCGGACTCTCTCTCTCTCTCCCTCTCTCAGAGGCGCGGTAAAGTCCACTGAAGGGGCCTTGGGACGCACAAAAAAAACACGAATCCCAGGATTCCGAACAGTTCTTTTTTCATATGTTCTGGATGTTCGTCTTCCCCCATCTTGTCCCAAACATTTTCCTGGGAATCGACGACGAAGTGTGTCTGTGTTGCTGTTCCCGTCCTGATCCACATCTGGATGGTCAAGGCGGGGCTGCTCCACCATGGACGGCCTGACGCAGAGGCTCTCTGCGAGCTGCGGCAACTGCGCTGGGGGGGTGGGGGGATGGGAGCCCTTGGCCCCATATCGTCGCCCTTGGGGGCCCAGAGGTGTGGCCTATGGAGCCCGTGGCAGGGGCCCCCCTGGGGAGCGGAGAGCAGGGAGCGAGCAGGAGAGCCACTCCTCGCCTCCAGACGGGGCCCCACCTCCTTCTGATGTCGAAGCCGTCGATCTGGACCTCCTCTCCCTGCGAGCCCGACAGCGCCGCGCGGGCGGTGACGAAAAAGCATGGCGAGACTGCACGGAGACGGCGCTCCGCGCCGTCGGCTCGGTGCTGCGCCCGCCCGTGGTGCTGCCCTCTCCGAACGTGAGGGCCAAGGATGCACGACCGAAGCATGACGCCGGGTCTTCGGAGGCCTGTGGGGGGCCACACTGGCAGGCAGACACGGGCATGCAGCCCGCACATGGAAGTAAGCAAACCTGCTAGAAGGAGCAGTGCCCTCCCTCCATCTGGCGGGTTCGCCACCAGATGACATCACACGGTCTCCCCTGCCACAGAGTGCCCCGAGGACCCGAGAGTCCGCCGAGCTGCACACCCCGGATTGCAGTGGAGCTGCACTTAACCTGTCGTCCTGCCTGCGCGATCCTCCTCGTGACGACGAGGACGAGAAGAGATCCTCGCCGTCGCCGCCGTCGCGCCGTCGCGCCGTCGTCGTCCTCCCTCTGCGAATCCTTCCGCCGGGTCCGACGCCTCCTGCTTCTGGGCGGCGTTCAGGCCCAGCCGCTGAGCCCAGACGGAGCGCGCGAAGCCGACGAGCCTGCGGGAAGGGGCGGCAAGCAGAGGCTGGTGGCTCCCGCTTCCCCTGTCGGTGCAAACGGTGCGTGAGCCTCTGGGGCACATGTTAGGTCGGGCATGTCCCCCTGCAGGCGGATCTTGGACGAAAAATAAAGCATAGTCAACAAATGCCCCAAAATAGTCAGCAGATTGAAAAATCGTCCCCAGACTATGTTTTCACTATTTTTGAATATCCCTCCTGTATGGGACATCCCCGACTTAAGGCAAATGGTGAGCCATAGCCCCGTGTCCCACCGCCATGGGCAACCAGTGCGAGTGGACCTAAAAGGGAACCGAGTGGGGCCACGCCACCCTCCCTGGCTCAGTCGACGACTGCTATCGGACTGCCTGCCCCCCGATCATCATGCTCCAACGGGTACACCGTTTGAGGCTATATGGAGCTGCGCGCTTCACACCATCGACCTGTCGAATCACCTCAAAGGATGTGCCGAAGGTGTGCGTTGAGTGCTTGCGCGGAGCGTTGTGCCAAAGAGTGTGCTATCCGAGAACCCGCCCCCGCAGCTCTGGACCCCCCGCCGCGTTGAGAGGAGGAGGAGAATGAGGAGGAGGAGGAGGAGGAGGAGGAAAAGGAGGAGGAGGAGGAGGAGGAGGAGGAGGAGGAGGAGGAGGAGGAGGGGGAGGAAGAGGAGGAAGAGGAGGACGACGACGAGCTCCCCAGCCAGGCCCCCCCCCCCGCACGTCTGGACTTCTGGCGGGGTGGGAAAGGAGGACGAAGGCTTAGGTCGGGCATGCCCTCCTACGACGGAACTTTCGACGAACAATTGCAAGTGGTCCAAAAGTGCACTCAGTATGATCAGACATTGTCGAAAAATCCTCCCCTGACTATTTTTTGACTATTTTTGAAGTTTCCTCCTGCAGAGGGGAGGCGAGGACGGCGAGGCCTGCCGAAGACGTTGCCGTCCCTGGACGTCGACGGGTCGAACTGCCGGACGACCGCCTCGGCCACGTCCCGCGGCAGCTCCGCCACGAGGCCTGCCTCCTGCGGGATCGGCCGCGCCCCGGAGGGGGGGGGAAGACGTGCCTGCGGGGGCGGGCCCTCCGAGAGACGGCCCAGAACCAGGGGGAACCTCGCCATCGCTCGGACGTCCATTCCCTGTGTTTTTTTTCCAGTTTCGTGCGTGTTTTTCTTCGCCAAATGATCAAGGATGCTCCTCGATGGTCCTCGCCCCCAAAAAAATGCACACGTCCGAGCGATGCCAAGGAACGAAAGGGGGGGATAGCAAAGGGTAGGGTAGAGAATCAACTCACGCAGCTGATTTTCCCGGCGCCTCCCGGCGCGGGGGGCGCCCATGTATCGAGGAATGGGCCCGGCGGCGGGGCTGCAACGAGCTGCGTGCAGTAGATTTCGTCCACCCCCCTTTCCCAAGCCTCATGTTGCTCCCACCGTACTTCAGGGCCACATCCCAGAAATAATTTCGAGCACCCGGAAAAGTGTCGAAAGAGTGCCAAAAGAGTGTCGAAACAGTGTCGGACGAGTGTGTCCCAGGGCCCGACACGTGAAAACCCTCGAGTTTCGGTACTGTGTTTGGTGCTCGAAATTCTTCCAGGTGGTGAAGGCTAAAGAAGGTTGGAACATCATAAAGGAAGAAAAGCCTGCGGGGGCGGGAAGGGGGAGCCTGTTTTTCAGTCGATTCAAACGCGTTCGCCCCCCCCCCCCCCCCTCCCCCCCCCCCCCCCCAACCCCACTCCACCCCCCACCCCCTCTTCCCCCCTCGCCCCTCTTCAATCGAACACGAGCGTGCAAGTGCCTTTCGACCTGCGTGATTTCCACGCGTCGAGTCGCTTGCGGCACGCTTCCGGTTCGGCCCCCCCCCCCCCGTCCATGCAAGTAAGCTTGCCAGAGTCTACATCACAAAAAAAGGCTCCTACAATTTCGGGAGACCGGCGGCACGTGCGCGGCCCAGCGGGGGGGCCAGGGACGTCATGAAACACTACGAGGCGCCATGAGATCTGGGGAGATATCCTGGCCCACGCCATGATATCCCCGCCCCCCTCCTCCTCCTCCTCCTCCTCCTCCTCCTCCTCCTCCTCCTCCTCCTCCTCCTCCTCCTCCTCCTCCTCCTCCTCCTCCTCCTCCTCCTCCTCCTCCTCCTCCTCCTCCTCCTCCTCCTCCCCCTCCTCCTCCCCTCCCCTCCCCACCTACTCATCACCCCCCTCTCTGCCGCCCCCGACCAAAAAAACGACTCCTGCCACTTCCGGGGCCGCTCCCGGGCCGGAGGAGGGCAGGGTGCCCGGGGCGGCGCGGCCGGGGAGGAGGGGGAGGGGGAGGGGGAGGGGGATGAGGAGGAGGAGGAGGAGGAGGAGGAGGAGGAGGAAGAGGAGGGGGGGGAGGGCGGCAGCGCCGTCCAGACCACCGCGACGGCCCAAGAGAGCTTCCCGAGCACGCCCAGGACGGCCCCCGAGGCGGAGCAGCCGGCCCCTCCAAGGGGGGCCCCGGGGGGCAGCGCCGAGAGGACCCTCGAGAGGGCCCCGCGCGGCAGCAGTCCTTGATGTTCCTGGGGCCTTCCTCCGTTTCTGGGGTCGTCGCCCTGTCGAGCCTCCGACGCTCCCCAAGACGGGCCAGGAGGCCCAGAAAATAGCCGCAAGACCACACAAGAGGCACCCCGCAAGAGAGCCAAGACGGCCCAAGATGGCCCAGAAGCAACCCAGAAGGCGCGCACAAGACGGCCCATGATGCAACCAGGATGGCACCCAAGACGGCCCACGAGGGCCCCAAGACGATACATGAACCGACGGTTCGAGCCCTCCGCCCCAAGAGTCCCCCAGGAAGCCCCAAGAGGCCCCCGAGAAGCCTCAAAGGGCTCCCAAAAGACACCCAAGAAGCCACAAAAGGCCATCAAGAGGCCCACCAGAGGCTCCCAAACTGCTTCCAAGAGACTTCACAACTGCCTCCAAGAGGCCCCCGAGAAGATTTTCGCGAGATCCCAACGATTCTTCAAACAGCCTCGGACCCATAACCCAGGGACGGTGGCGGGATGGGCCGAAGGCCACCAGACAAGAGAAGATAGAAATAACGCGAAGGGGCAGTATACCACGACACATTCACAGTACGACCCGCCCAAGGACCTAACATCGAGCCAACCCGTCCGTGAAATAGCAAGCCAAAGAACTCGATATACGGGCATGGCGCATAGACTGCCTAAGATGACTGCCAACACCCTCCTCCCGCTCCTCCTCTTCCTTGTCCTCCTCCTCCTCCTCCTCCTCCTCCTCCTCCTCCTCCTCCGCCTCCCCCTCCGTCGTCTTCCTCCGTCCTGCCTCCTGGGGGTAAAATTCGCAACCTGTTAAACAGGACGATATCGCACGGAGCGGTACGGGTCGGCGGCGCAAGCCGCAAACCTCTGCAATAAGCCGCCTGAGCCTTCTTCGGACTCACAAAAAGATTTCTCCGAAGGCCATGATGGGGATTCTGAGAAGCCCAGTCGCCTCCCGCGAACGCCTGCCCCCTCTGCCTTCCCCCCCGGGGCGCCGCCGAGAGGAAGGAGGCGGGGGGAGGAGGGGCTTGGGGAAGGGGGAGAGGGATAGGGCAGGAGGCGGAGGGCAGGAGCAGGAACAGCGCAACACGACGAGCCCCCCCCCCCAAAAAAAAAATCCTCCTCCAGCTCCTCTGCCTCCTCCTCCTCCTCCTCCTCCTCCTCCTCCTCCTGCAGCGGAAAGACTGGGAGAGGGCAGAGGCGGGCCAGCGATCAGCAGCAGCAGGGGGCGAGGAAGCCCTGGGGGCAGACAGCACGGAAGCGGCTCGGGCAGCAGGCGCGCGGCGCCCACGAGACACGCCGCGACCCGCCGGCCCCTTCCGCCGCCGCGTGCCCGAGCCGCCGCCGTGGGCCTCCCAACTGCTCTCGACGAGGAGGAGGCCTCTTCCTCCTCGTCCCTTCCTCCTCGCCCCCCTCGACTCAAGGGGGGGGGGGGGGGGGGGGGCGAAGAGGAAGGGGCGGGGGGCAGGAGAGCATCGAGACCAGCTCCGCGACCCCCTGCGGAGCCTGCGGCCGACCCTCCCGAGGCACAGCAGCCACCGCGCCCCCGGCGGGCAGCAGCAAGCAGGGCGGGGACGAGGCGCGGCCCAGGCGGAGGACGGAGCCGGGCGAGCGGAGCGAGAGAGGCCACGGGAGCCAGGAGGAGCTGGAGAGCACGAGGCGAGAGGGACGGGGGACACAGGACGAGGAGGAGGGCACGCCGGCACGCAGCGCTCCCCGCTCCTCCTTCCTCCCTCCTCCCCTCCTCCTCCTCCCTCCTCCTCCTCCTCCTCCTCCTCCTCCTCCTTCCTCCTCCTCCTCCTTCCTCCTCCTTCCCCATCCTGCTCCTCCTCCTCCTCCTCCTTCCCCATCCTGCTACTCCCCCTGCCCCAAAGATCCGACCTCATTACTTTGTTCACTCCGGGGTCCCTGGAAGGCCGGGGGCCCTGTCCCCAGAGCCAGCTTTTATCCTCCCGTGCCGGTGTCCGACGGTCCTGGGAGACCCCGCGAGGGCTCCCATATGAGGCCCAAGACGGCGCAGTACCCCCGTCTTTGAAGGGGCCCCAGGACACGCAATAAATACACACAAGTAAAAAGATTCCCTATATTTTCTAATATTTTCTGGGGTTTTGTCTCCCCCCCCCCCACTTCCCATATTTTCCCATATTTTCTGGGGAATCGACGATTCATTGTGTCTGTGTGTTTCTTGCCCTCCTGAGTCTTGTGTTTGTCGACGCGCGTCCCTTCTTCCTCTCGGCCGTCCTCCCTTCCCTCTTCGCTCGCCGCCCAATTCGCTGGTTCGTGCTCCTATCTGGCTTCTCGCTGAAGCGGAATTCGCCGCCTCGCCGCTGACGAAAAAAATGTTTGTCGACGCGCTGGAGGTGTGGTGGTCTAGTTGTTCGTCCCGACCACTTCCCCAGTGGTATGTTGTCCTCCCAGATCCAATTTGAATGGTCCCGGGGGGCCGAAATCGAAGCCAAAACGCTGGGATTGGAAAACACACATCGTCAAAGATCTGGGGGGAGAGATGGGGGGATGTCACCCTCCTCCCAAGCCGCTACCACTACTCCCCGGACCTCTCCGCGGGTGCATCCTGACCAGAACTTCGAGGAGAGTCCAACCGTGGTGACAAGGTCCTCCAGGACGAGCAGCGGCATCGGCATCTCGTCCTCGAGGCCTCCTAGATGGAGTCGGAGCTGATTGGGTCGGAGGATCGCGCCGCGTCGCCGATGCTTCAGCGATGCATCGGCGATATATCGGCGATGCACTGGCGATGCATCGTCAACGTCGGCGATGAATCGGCGCCGCTGGCGTAGTTAAACTCGGACTCCACATCGAACGGCATCGCCGATGCATCGACGATGCGGCGCGATCCTCCAACCCCGTCTATTCGGAGGAGGAGGAGGAGGAGGAGGAGGAGGAAGCCTTGGAGCAGCGGCATCGGCATCTCTTCCTCCTCTGGGCAGGGAGGGAGCCCAGCTACCCCGATACGCAGCACGCAGCACGGGGCGTGCTGCCACGGAGCTCCGCGCGTGGACGGAACGCGCAGCTCTGGCGCGGTGCGCTCGCCAGAGCGCGGGCCACCCTGCGCCGAGCCCACACGCGACGCGTCGACACGGGCGCCTCGATCACGGCGCGTGCTGCGCAGCAGCACGGGCGGCGAGGCGACTCAGAGGCACATCAAGACATCGGATGTCTGGGATCAAATTGTGCATCGAATCGGACTGCGCCCACACGGAGTCAAGATCCAAGAGGATCGGCCGCGCCAAGCTGCACAGCGACCCTGAGAAACAAACGCGAGGTACTCCTGTTCTGGATGGGAGGGGGGCGCGTCCTCCTCCCCGAGGCCGATGATCCGCGACCACTCGTAGGGGTCCGCCTGCTCCACGCCCGGGGCGGGCTGCGCGGCCCAGCGCTGCGGCGGCGGCTGCCTGGGCGCGCTGCGCGGGACCCCCCGGGGGGGAGGCCTCCCCCGCCCTCAGCCGCCCCGACACGCAACGCGCAATCCGCAGCGTGCTGCCACGGAGCTCGACGCGCAGACTGAAAACGCGCGCTTGGCGCGATGCGTTCGCCAGGGCGTGGGACAGCACGTGGAGCCAACACACGCACCGTGTTCACACGGACGCTTGGAACGCGCACGTGCTGCGTTTCAGAACGGGCGTATCAGGGCAGCTCAGCTCCCCTCTCCAGTGAGGGAGGACGTTAGGGGGACCCAAGCTCCCTTTCTCGCATCGTGAAGAAATCGCGGCGGAAATTTGGGTGATTTGTGGCCTCTCAGGGTCCTCGCCTCAGAAAGCGACCCGGCATAAAAAAACCCTCCCCCGAAAGGGTCCAGACCTCTGGGGGTCCACGCTGCGCAAAAAGTCGCGACGCCGAAGGTCTGGGGAGGCGGAGCCTCAAAAGGGGGCACCGGCTCACGGGGGGGAGACATATCGAGCCGGAGTCCGCGAGGCATCGCGGATGGCTCTCGGCCCCCGACAGCGCAGCCCCACGGTCCTGGGCAGGGGCGGGCTTTCGGGCCTCTACTTCGGCGAGGAGAGGGCGATCGGGGGTCGATGCGTGCGCCCCCCCCGGAGCCTATCCCCAGACATCTGGCGTCTCGATTGCTTGTTTCGAGGCGCGACCTGTCAGGACAATCGCAGTAGGCACGCAATTGGAAGAGAAGATGGAGGGGGAGGAGAGGAGGAGGAGGAGGAGGAGGAGGAGGAGGAGGAGGAGGAGGAGGAGGAGGAGGAGGAGGAGGACACCACTGCCCTGGGACCCGCCTCTCTCCTCGAGGGTCGCCTTGTGGCCGACGGCCCCGAGGCCCGGTGGGGGCCACGGAAGGCCGACGACGCCAACAAAAAAAAAGCGCCCCGCGTTTCTCGTGACGCCCGATGCCTCGGTCCCCCGCCCGCCCCGAGCGGTGCCACCACCGATCCCGATCGAGCCCGAGGGAGGGAGGAGGAGGAGGAGGAGGAGGAGGAGGAGGAGGAAGAGGAGGAGGAGGAGGAGGGGGAGGAGGGAGGGGGACCCCGGATCCGCCCTACTTTGGGGAAATTCGTAAGTAGGGCTTGGAATTCCCGCCTTCCTTTTCAAGCCCCGCCGATGCCAATGTCCGCCCTGCTTTTCTGTTGTTGTTTCCGCCCTACTTCTTTGGATTTTCGCCCCATGTTATGCTGGGTGCAGCAATTTCCGCCCTACTTTTTCGGCCACTTCTAGGTGGATTTCCGACGCAAGTTTAAGTTGGAAACAAAGCCAAAGTAGGGCGGATCTGGAGTCAGGGCGCCCCGAACGGTGCCACCACCGATCCCGATCGAGCCCGCTCGGCCGCCGAGCGGGACCACCTGCCGCCGCCCCGTCGGGAGCACACGGGGCCGCGAGGCTGCCCGCCGGGCGGCCCGACGGGCCGAGGCGCCGAGCGGGTCGAGAGAGCAGCGTCAAGGACTAGGTCGGGCATGTCCTCCTACCGGTGGATTTAGGAAGAGATTTCTTTTAATAAAAGGTCCAAAAATATCTCCAAAAATGTTCAAGCAATCGTCCCCCGACTAGTGTTGGACCATTCCTGAATGCTCTGCCTGTACAAGGGACACGCCCCGCGTAAGTCCAGGCTGGAGGGCGGGTCCTGTTGAAAATGTGGCCCTCGCCTCAGCGCCGAGCACGTGCGATTTCAAAAGCTTGCAAGCATTTCAGATGCGGGGAACAGCGCCTTGTCTGATCGTGTCTCGCGCGCAAAAGCCGCGCACACATTCGCCTTGAAAGACTTGGGCCCGTATGGTTGAAGTCCCAAGAACGGTGTCCTGACACGAATTAGGATCGCCAAAACGTAAGCATTACGTTGATTCGCGGTGTTGAAGTCCTAGGATTGGGGTTCTGTCACGACTAAAGAGTGTCAGGGCGCAACATTCACATTGATTCGCAGTGTTGAAGTCCTGGGATCGGTGTTCTGGCACGGTTTAAGATTCTCAGGACAAGACAGTCGCGTCGGCTCGCGGAGCTGAAGTCCCAGAAGTTGTGTCCTGACAGGGTTCTCGATCCTCAAGCGGTTGTCATCGCACGGGGGCGCTTCCCACAACGACAGCATGCGTCAGGGACCTCAGGTGAGAGAACGTTGAGAGAGGGTGGTTTGCAACATCGCTGTTGCGTCTTGAACTGACTCTGGTCCCTCATCCCTTCTCCTTCTAGCTGGTCCCGCCCTGCCGCACCCCAAAACGTGTCGGTACGGCCCGGGAGGGGGCCCAGACCTCTGACGGCCGAATGCATCAAAAAAAGAATCTCGACCTCGCAGGCCCAGGCTCTGCAGGACCAGAGGCCGGAGGAGGAGGAGGAGGAAGAGGAGGAGGAGGAGGGAGGAGGAGGAGGGAGGAGGAGGAGGAGGAGGAGGAGGAGGAGGGAGGAGGAGCAGGAGGAGGAGGAGGAGGAGGAGGAGGCATGAAGCTTCATAGCTGCACTAGCTTCGAGGATGGAGGGCGGGCAATTTTCAACATGTGGCCCTCCCCGCAGCGCCGAGCGCATTCGTCTTCAAAACTGAGCGTGCACCAGCTGCAAGGCTGGAGGGCGGCTCCTTTGCAAAGTGTGGTCTCGCCTCTAACGCCGCGCACGTTCGTTTTTACACATTTCGATCGTCCCAGATATTCGTATGGCTACAGTCCCAAAAAATGGCCATCCAGCGCGAGTCAGGCTTACCAGGACGCAACAATCACGTTGATTCGCGAAATTGAATGCCAATGGCGTTCTGGCACGATTTGGGATTGTACGGTCGCATCAGCAACTTCGATTCGCAGTGAAATCCCAGGAACGGTTGTCTGGCACCTGGGAATATTCTCAGACGATCGCCTTCAAATCGGACACTTCCCGCAAAGAAAGCGATGTCTTGTGGGGACCTAGGAAGACAGAGTTTGGGGGGAGGGTTTATTGCAATATCGTTGGTGCGCGTTGGGTTTATACTGGTCCTCCTCCTCCTCCTCCTCTTTAGAAGCCGCCTCGATGGGGTCCGAGTGGATGGGGTCGGAGGATCTCGCTGCATCGCCGTACATCGGCGACGCATCGCCGATGCATCGATGATACATGGGCCATGCGCTGGCGACGTCGGCGATTCGTCGGCGCCGTCGGCGTGCAGAAAATCTGCCGCATCATCGAAACAGATCGCCGATGCATCGGCGATGCGGCGCGATCCTCCGACCCCATCTACTCGGACTCCACCTGGGAGGCCTAGACTCCTCCTCACCTTCGCTCTTCCTCCTTTCCCCCCCTTCTGATCATCTCATATCCCCTCCGCTGACATCCGCCGACAAGCTTTTTCAAACATAGGTGCTGCCCCAGCACAGCGTCCGACCACTTCCCCGGGGCACACTGTCCCGCTCATCAGGACCCACTTATGATGACCCCGGCGCCCGACAGAGTGAGACGAAACCATGACGAGGATACAGTCGGGCGAACATCAATCAAGAACCTCTGACATCTTTGGTTAACCCAATAAGGGGGTGCAGCTGAAAGGGGGTGGTGCAATTGGTTTGGGGCTATTGTATTACATACACATGTACCGCGCCGGATACATGAATTGCATTGTATTGTATATAACGTGTTTCGAGCCCCAAATCTAGTGCAATCCCACAAATCGATTGCACCAAATCTATTGCACCATCCTCTTTTCGCTGGACCCCTTCTGAAGCCCACCTGCAGAACGCTCTGGGAGCGTTCCAGGAAGCTCTGGAACGGATCGATCCTCGTCCTAGCCCAACCCGACACTGGGCCCTGCAGGTCGTGGCCCAACCAAAACAACGCACACGGAAAAAACAGAAGCAGTCGGAGATCTGCGTGTCCCCTGGGGAACCAAACTGCTCTCGATGCTCGATGCTGCCAGTCCCCAGGCCTTTTCCCTGGGCGCGTTCCGACCAGAGTTTCAGAAAGAACCCAAGCGTGGCGACAAGGGCACTCCCAGAGGAGCGGCGATATCTGTATACTGTGATGGCCCAAGATGACACCCCCATCCCCGACGGCGGCACTAGCGGTAATCTTTCGCAGGCGTTATACTGGGACCATCGGGCGGGCGGTAATTAATGAGTGGTGGCCCCAATGACGGGTGAAGAAAAAACCCGTACGAGGTCCTTCAGGGCCCCTTTTGGAGCCAGCTGGTGCCCCAAAGGGGCCTCAAAGGGCCCCTCACCCCCCACGTGGGGCATCCCATTGCCGCCCGCCCGAGACCGGAGGAGGGGGTGAGATTCCGGCAGCCGTCCAGGCTGGCGCCCAAGCGCGGGCCGCTGCACAAATCCCACCGCCAGGCGAAAATGGGGCGTCATTTTTCGGTTACGTACACTGGCTTCTTCCTCCGAAGGTCTCTTCCTCAGGAGAGGAACCAACAAAAACAGAAACTGCCGAAAACCCGCGCGGATTTCACGGGGCCGCCAGGGCCAGGGGGTCTCGCGCATGAACGAGAAATCCGCACGGTCCGTGACCATATTCTGTTTACAATCATCGTGGTACCATACGACGGAGCATTAGAAGGAACGAAGCGGCGATTGTAGCCACGGCGCGCCTACATCGGCCACGAAACAGGTTCCACAGCGCAGATCTCATTGGCGGCCCCACAGCCCGAGGCCCCCGAGCCCCTCCTGCGCCCGAAGCGGCCGTTCTTCCACCGTCTCGACTGCGCGCCGTTTTGGAAGGGGCCCAGGGACGCGCGCACGCGCGCACAAGTATTGACAAAAAGCCCGAGCGCTCCCCGCATGCCCCATCGTTTCAAAAGACCCGTCTCCTCCTCCGATTCAGCTACATATCTCCCGCGTTCCCGGGAAGCGGCGATCACGTGAACGTTGTCTTCTCCGGCGTTCCGACGCCAGGCGGAAAGAGGGGGGGGGGGCTCCCGACCTCTGCTGAAAGCGACTGCGTGCAACAGTGCGTCCTACGGGGGGGACTCTGTGAAAAACACGATCGGGCAACGCCTCCTATCTGT